CCTCTATCTTCTACGGACCTAGCTTCAGTATCTCCACACATAGACAGTGAGGTCCCTCTTGGCCAATCGGAGGCCAAGATGATGCTCGGCAAGCCAATGGCAGAGCAGCTATGAGTATGTTGGGTCCAGGAAACTCGCAGCTGTGACCGAAATAAACATCGTTCACTATGTAAACCAGTGTGGTGGTTGCTGTTTCCTTTTTTTGAACGAAGCAGTAGAGGTCGCTGTTGGATAAGACTTCGTTGTAGTGAATGTCTTCGCGAGGCTGGAGCAGACAAAATGATTTCGTATAACGCAACAGGGGGTTTTTCGTCGTATGGGGGGCAGGAGAATGGGAATTGTGTTAATGCATGAAGATTTTTTCACATAAGGGGGTATTTTCGCCCATGCAGGTTTCGTTCTAGAGGAGTTTCACTGTAGGTTTATTTCTTATAAACAAATGCCGCAAAAATGTTCATAATTCAGGCATACAAGATTTGCTGAGAAATAGGTTCTTATTTCATCCCATGGTTCAGTCTTTGAGTTCATATCTCCGCAATAAACTTTCGCAACACTTGTTCGCAACACTTGTTTTAACGTTACACAACTTAGCAATCGTCTGCTTTCCATGAAGCGAAGGCCCATCTCGCCAATCTCGCCTCCCGAGAACAGAAATCTCGTCACGCAAGATTACTTAACGTGATATCAAAATAGCAATGGCGGCGATTGTCAAACTGCGATCGTTGCTGGAAAAAGATTTACCGTAGTTTTTTTTTTTTTTTTTACTAAGAAATTTCCTTGCATCCCAAAAACGCACATTACAGTCATACCTCGGTTTTCGACCATAATCCGTTCCAGAAGGCTGTTCAAAAACCGATTTGTTTGAAAACCGAAACCACGCTCTTAAAAAAAAAAAAAAAAAAAAACTATTTCGATTGAACACGTCTGTTCACCATGGAACGCGAAACGAGGAAGCGTCACTTCCTCGTCTACCCGAGGAACCGTTCGAAAACCGAGGTTTAACTGGAACTGTGCGAATGGCGGGAAAATTAGGCGTCGAGGATGCAGGATGCAGAGGTAACGGGATGGCTGCTGATCACAACCTGCCTGTATTAGGGAAAAAAAAAAGTTTAGGGAAAAAAAAAAAGATCTTGAACATAAAGAATGCAATGTTCAAATTACATGACTGCAGATACGTTGTTTTTATACACGTGTGTGTATATCTACGGATATGTATCAAGAACGTTGACCATCACGAGGTCATCGAGCAATCTAAAGATGAGAACAATTTCTTTTGGCACAATGAAAAGTTTGCTTCCAATCCAATTGCCGCATATGTTGACATTCATTCTTTGGCAGACCCAAAAAGCGCTGTCATCAGTTACCATGACAACGGCGGCCCGCTCAGCCGACCGACGCGTATTCATGACCAATGGTTTTGTTTGTATCCCTTCACGGATGAGATTTGAGACTGGCCGCGCCCGCCTCAATGGCAAAAATGCAACAGTGGAGAATTTTTGTCTGCTGTTTTTCTGCCGGTCGTCAAAGACGAACGCAGAGCAGCCATCTGAGACAATTTCTCTCGAGCCAAAGAACAACTTGTAGGTTGACAGGAAGCAAAATTTGACTCCCTCAAATCACAAACGTCACCTCACTGCAAAGGGCCACCATGCGCCTGAACCCTTACGGGGACAGCGGTCACTACACTGGACAGCTTATCATGTTATCAGGTTACAGGGTGCAAGGTAGGAGTTAAACATTTCGCAATCACATCGCTTCAAAGTCAAAAGATGTGAAAAAGAATTTCACATTGGCATCGTTCTAAAGTCGAGTCTGAAATCGAAACTCAACCTCATGACCGAGTTTACCAAATAATCCCCAAAGATCAACGGCTGAAGACTGGCGCCGATAAATCACGAGATGGTTCAACTATGGACGCTCCTACTTAAGTACATATGGACAAGGTCAACTCTTGTGCCAACTAGTCAATGACATACAATACACATTTTTGACCGGTTGCCTGAGAAACTGACAACTACCTTTTTTTTTTTCTTTCCTGTCATCATCTGTCGAGATTTAAAATAAAAAAAGAAAAAAATTTAAAATACAAAAAGAAAAACTCCTACTTTGACAGAGGGTGGAAAGTACAGAAATCTCTTCAAATATAGGTAGGAGTAAATGTAAAAAGTCGTCAACAACATTAAAAAAATAAAAAAAAAATCTAAAGGTACCTGAAAAATGTACATAACCCCTTTCGGGGACAGCGGTTACTAAAGTGGACAGCTTAACATGTTATCGGGTTTCAGGTTATCATTATTGGCGCATGAAAGGGGTTAAGTACAGTGAGGACGTGTAAGTAAGCAAATATATGCTTGGCACCACTGTGAGTACGCAGGAGCATGGATTGGAGGAGGAGGAGGCCAACCGGCCCACATGTGACCCGGCAGCCTTTCTCCTGCTGCTGCTGCTGCCGTCACCATGGAAACGCATGTGAACTGACTGCCGCCAGGAGGGACGGCTCCATGCAAATGCTGGCAATGGATAACACACGCAGCCTTCTTCACCCCCGACTTTTTTTTTTTAACATTTTATTTGTATTTGACTTGAGGTCTCTCTTTTTTTTTTTTTTGCAAACCATGTAAAACCTGCACGCCACGAGCCGTAACTCTCCACTGAGGCAGGTTAGACCCCATGTTGGTAATTTGGCAGAGAAGACAATTGGCTGGAGGAGATTGTTGGTTCACCTTTTCACCTTCGACATTTTTCCTGTCAATTATAGCAAACGTGGGTGGCACGGTGGACAATTGGTTAGTATGTCTGCCTCACAGTGCAGGGTTCGATTCCGCGACACTCCTGAGGATAAACAGATTAGAAAATAGATGGATGGATATAGCGAGCTTTAATTCACAATTAAATTGGGGGTGGGGGACCTATACTTTTTTATTTTTTACAGAACTCCGTCATGTTTTTTTTCCCTGATGCCTTGTTTTTTTTTGGGGGGGGATATTTTTTTTTTTTTTTTTTTTTGGGGGGGGGGGTTTATATATATATATTTTTTAGACCTCTTTTTTTCTTCCTGCAATTATGAGTTTCAATTATTTGTGAATTTTTGGGGATAACCTCGCCCTTATTCACAATTTCCCCCCCCCCCCCAGCCACCGATCTACTGCTTCTTCATTTTTATTTGGGGGTGGGGGGGAGTTCCATGGGAAACATAATAGCCATTAATTTGTGTTTTTTTAAATTATTGTGATTCATTTTTATTCATGTTTTAAAACCTGCCTTTGTTGATATTTCTGAGTTATTGAATTGTTCAAATATTGTCATTATTTGCATAGTTTTTTTCTGACTGTGAGAATTGCCGCAAGCTTTGTTTGTCTATGTTGCTGTTCCAGCATAAGCTGCTTGAAGTTTCTAATTTGTGTCAAATCAACGGCAATTTACGTTAAGCCCATCTACGATGATTCTTTTTTTGTAATGGCTGCTATTTGGATGGTGAAAGGGAGTGCGTGTTTTGAATCAAGTTTGCTTGAAATTGTTCAAATCCGAAACAACACCAAATAAAGCACAACAAACCATTCATTAAAAAAAAAAAAAAAAAAATCAATGAAATCATAGAGGCAAAATAAATCGGATTATAAATCGTGGCTAGCTTCAGAGCGACGCAAGAATACAGCAAATGAAATAAGACTCCAAAGGCATTTGAACCCTGTGGCGTGAAAAGATCCTGCCGACGTGCACGCGTGTGTGCGGTTGGGCTCAAATGTCAATTGTTCCCTTGTGGCCTGCCCGTTGTGCTGGGTGGGCTGCGTGTACGAGTACCACTAATTGGAAGCGGCAACGTGTTGACATTTGGTGTCAGCTCCTCAAAGCAGAACGCCAAGGCTCCCTGCAGAGCAGCACCAGGCCGCTGCTGTCTTGTCGTGACACTTTGGAGCGGGAGGAGAAGCACCACCGGTAGCTGCATCTGATCTGAAGCGGGTGACCCTCCGCTCCACAGTTTTGTCTCGTCATTTTTAAACGATGGCTTTTGACGGCATGCAGGCGAGTCTTGGAGCTGCAGGTGATTATTTTACGTGGAACAACGAAATATGATTTGGTTCATAATGAGACGGTAAACCCGCTTCATCACAGAGTTTCAGGATACTTTGCAGATTTTTGTGGTGCAGTTCATAACGAAGCTGCTTTCCCCTACGGCTGGATTGAGAACTAGTTGGTTTTGCCCCCCCCCCTCCCATTTATTTTGGGTGTACTGCTGAAACCGAAAGGAGGTGCACTATTTTGTTTGGAAAAAAAAAAGAGGGAGCGCCATTTTTGCTGAAGATAATTTGTCCAATCCTCTTTTTTTTTTTCCCAGAGCTGCAGAAAGCAACGACTCCGTGTCACTTCTATCATATCCATCATTGGCCAAGATTATTGGTTTGTTTCAGGTTTTTTTTTTTTGGTGGGGGGGGGGGTGAGTACACGAACGCTCTGCAATAATTTGGCCTTATCCATTGCTCTTGCTCTCCTTACAATGTATTATATTTGCGTGGACTATTTTAAAAGACCATGTCTGTAAATGTTATTAAAAACATGGACTAAAATTATGGATGCAAAATGAAATGCAACGACAAAAATAAAAAACATCGACATAGCTGTTATTAGGGGAAAAAAAACCCAATACAGCGCTCGGGGCGCATTGCAGCAACACCTTTTAGAACATCAAGTTGCACACGCATGCAAAAGCAAATGGGGGCCACTTTGCGGGCCTTGATGCTGAACAAGCAACACACCGGCCTGCAAAGTGGCCCTGCCAACACATTCAAAGCACAAAACACATTTCATTCATAAAACATTAGCGGCGTTCCGCCACGCCACGTTCAGCAAGTCACAACTCCATGCCGGAGGGAAAAATAAACGGCAGCCCAATCACAACTCTATGCCAGAGGGAAAATAAACGGCGGCCCACTAAAGGGAAAAACGTTGAATTATACAAAGCTTAGGCAGCGGGAAAAGCTCAACTCCATCTCAGCGAGCTCCACGGGGGGGTTCAGGGAGCAGCTGTTTTCAGCCTGTCATTGGCATTTCACATGACGTCAAACATTAAGCTGGTGTAAGTTTTGGGCAAATTGATAGGAATCTGTTTTTTGGTGGTTTCAAAACGACATTCAATTCTCCTTTGTACCATGTGCCGGTTTTACAGTAGGTCCAACTTGGAGCGACAGCGCAACAGTTTGAAGCGAGCACACTTTACATCTTATTTGGAGAACATTGTGAGAGCAGGTTGGAGATGTGGGACGAGTGGCCCAAAATTACCAAGCAATTAAGGGCAGGCGCCATTTTGTCTTGAACTCACCAACAGCTTCTTCTTCTTGAGGTCTGCTGCGTGTTTTTCCTTCTGGCGTTGGTTCCATTGTGCCGGTGTGGGAACACATAAAGAGTTTGGATGTTTGCTTCTCTTTTGCCAAATGTCTTAAAAGTGCCCTCGTGCTACTTTCTTCTGGAACGGACGAGCGGGACCAGACGAGAAAGTTAGCCGAGCGGCGAGTTGACTTCAAAAATCACAAGTTGGGCTCTGACTCTCCTCCATACGAGTGCACCTGACCATGCCGTGACTCATCAAGTTGCACATCCATTATAAGCAATGACAACGTCAACGCGTTAATTGGAATTGGTGGATGAGAGTGACTCTCATATAACATCACGGAGGAAACTCAAAGCAAAAGTCTCCAGATAAGAGGCAAAGCATTCACGGTAGCTGTTTGTCACTTTCTCCTTAAGTTTATTGGAACCAAGCCGACATTTTTTTTTTTTAAGAGAGAGAGGATTGATGCGAGTCAGAAAAATTCAACCAAACTATCAAACAACACACTTGCATTAGCTTAATTTGAACGTAGAACGAGAAAAGCCATCAGCGGGCTACCGGGAATTAGCATCAATGTTCGGGTAATTCGAAGCATTCAAATAAGTGCTACTTGAACACACACATAGGGGGCAGACGTTCACTCGGCGTAGTGGGAATAGCACTTCATCTGCCTCTTCTTCTTTACTGGTGCTACATCGCTTGCAGTTGAGCTCAATGCTGCCTGGAATATTGTGGCAAAACGCGGTACTACACTAAAGGTGATAAACTATTTGCATTTGCCAAAAGGGCTACACATTAAAAAAAAAACACTTGAAAAATAGACATTTCTTTATTATGCTAACATTGGTGGTCGCTGTTCACAATTTTGGAAAAGAGAGACGTACGGAGCAACAGAAATAAATGCGGCTCCGGACTGGCTCTTTCCCTGTTTACATCCACGTTTTTTCTTTGCTTTCCACCACCCCTGCATAAATCCCGCCCCCCGGCCTGTGATTGGCGCCGGGAGGCCTCTCCGGCGCTCCTAGTGGTTGATAATTTCTGTCATTTAGACAAAATTAAAATTTTGAACAGCCTCCAGGAAGTGCCACAAACTTGGGGGGGGGGGATAAAAATCACCGATATAATTATGCAGGAACTACTGTTGTTTTCATAAATAATGCTTCAATGGAAGCGCTAACACATTGAAATGGAAAGCAATGGCAAGTAATTATTACAAATGATGCAGTCTTGGTCAAGGCTGTTTGTACGTGCCACAGGTCACACTTGAGGGTGGAAGTTTTGGGGTTCTAAATTTCAGTGATTTACGGGCAAGATGAGCGGAGGTGCATTTCAGTTGATCACTCCTGACTACATTGAACAGATAATAAACTCTTTTGTGGTTTCTCCTGTCACGCTCCTAATTTGTGGCGCATTTGGAACATGTGCAACAAGAAGCAAACAAAATGCACCTCCTCAGAGTTGCTGACGGGGGTGACTCAATCCAATTGAGCAGACGTGCTCCCGGCTTTTGTCTTTTGCAAATCGGAGAAACCTTTCTCTTTTGTTGACACACACGCACACATAGGCTGCCATTCATGCAGAATTCTACATTTATTAGAAAGTTTGTTTTTACAGAAGACCTGCACACGGACGGGTCAAAGTACTAGAAAATGCAGTTACGGGTGGTTCACAGCAGGCCCGACTCGAGCCTTCGATCATCTGCGTACATTTTATGTTATGTCACATTTATCAATCAACATATGGATCTGCACAGTCAAGTGAGGAGGGGGAGGTGCCTCCAGGATGACTTCTCCACGTGCACTCCAGAAAACAAACAAACAGGGAATTGATGACAATCAATTAGAAATAAAAGCATCTAGTACATACTATATACATACAAGTGCAGGTCTAGTTAACGTGACCTGTCACCATAAAAACACATCTGCATTCCTACACTTTGTTCATTAGCAATCATTTCTTCTTCTTTTTTTATTTATTTAATTGTCAAATCATTTTAATGTGCTTAAAAACATGTGGACTGTAGTGTGGTGCACGCTAGACTTTTAATCATGTCTTCATTGCTGGCGGATACTTGGTGGCCATCTTGCTACCTTCCTGACCATCTTTGTTTAATTTTGCATAATTGGATGAGGACCAGACAAGAGAGAGAGAGAGAGGACGCACGTGATGAAACCTCCTGAAAACAACATGAAGCCTTCTGTATGTGTGTGTGTGCGTGTGTGCGTGCGTGCGTGCGTGCGTGTGTGCGTGCGTGTGTGTGTGTGTGTGTGCGTGTGTGTGTTTTTTGGGGGGGATTGTTTTCTCTTCCCTCTCCCGATGGTTCTCCCGCCCCGGATGCTCTCAATTCCAGAGTTTGAGGAAGCTGTCCCACGATCCCGTGCAGACGCCCATGCCATCCTCGGGAACGCCGGTGCAGCTCACGCGGTTGTCGTGTCCGGACAGAACGCCTGCGTGGAGAGACCAGAGAAAACGCAAAAGCCAATCACACACCCACTAGCCTGGAGGGGGGACGTCACTCTTGAGAGTTTGAAGTTTTTTTTGTATTTTTTTTCCCAGCCACTATTTGAGAAATAACAACCAAGCAGAAAAAGAAGACGGGGCGGCGATGTGTCAAATCAATTGTCGTGATTGGTTGTTATTCCTCGGCCGCAGAATTTTTCAGAGGATGGAGTTTGCAATGGAACGGTTATGGACCTGTGCAAACGCACCCGGACTACCGGCTGGCCTTGTTACCGCTGGACTCACCGACTTTCTCTCCCTTGAGAGAATCCCAAATATGGCAATTGAAGTCATCGTAGCCGGCGAAGATGAGGCGACCCGAGTTGGAGAGAGCCAGAGACGTGACGCCGGCATTCAGGCTGCTGTCCTGGTAGCCGATCACTTCCTGGTCGGCGCGCAGGTCGTACATCTTGCAGGTGCAATCGTCCGAGCCCGTGATGATGGCGTTGCCGCTCTGGAAGAACTGCAGGTGGGTGGTAGATGATGGCGAATGATTGGTCGCGGAGTACTGTCACATGCTGTTTGTATGCATTGCTGCTCCACGTGCCTCATAGGAGCATTTTCCAAAGTTTTAAGATTATAATAATGATGCTAATTCCCTTTTTTTTGTATGTGTGTGTTATGTTAGCATCAAGCGAGAGGATGTAGACAAATTGATATGCCATGATGTCGCAATACACCAGGAGGGATCTGTGACGCACCAGATTATTCTTTTTTGCACTCACGTAACAGCAGCCAGCAAAACAGACAGTGTTATTTGTGAGATGCGCATTTCACTTGTGAAAGCATTGTCAAATGTGCAACTTGCATGGAAGCTATTCATGCCTTTAATGTCTTAAATTCAGTGGGCCACCACCATTTGCAAACGTCAATGGCTTCTAGCGCCACCATGTTTAAATTTTTTTTTTTTTTTTTTTTTTTTAACATGATCGCTGCGCTCAAGGCCCGTTGATATTTTTGTAGGTCCCTCCGGTTGCAGTACTGAATTGTGGCGAGGGCGCGCGCATTCTCACAGCGATGGCGTTGATGTCGCTGGTGTGTCCGATGAAGGTCTGCTTGCAGACGCCTTCCCGGACGTCCCAGAGCTTGGCCAGCGAGTCGCAGGCACCCGAGATGAACGTGTTCATGTCCGGGGACAGCGCCAGAGACATGCAGTCGCCGATGTGGTTGGTGAACACCACCTTCTGCTTGCCCGTCTCCAGGTCCCACAGGCAGCTGGCGGGCGGGCAGAGCAAAGAGCAAGACGGGAAGTTACGAGGTGGCAGAGGTCGGTGTGCTGGAACGTGTGCGAGCTGACCAGGTGGTGTCGCCGGAGGCCGTCAGGATCTCCGTGTCACTCAGGAAGCGGCAGCAGGACAGGTAGCCTTGGCGACCAAAAGTGCTTGGTTAGCTTGTTGGGGAGACCGTTTCATTGTTTATGTGCCTCACCAATGACTAACGACCACGATTAGTATAGTTCACGAAAACTAACGAAATAACGAAATGTCAAATTGGAAAAAAAAATAATAATAATAAACTTTTCATTCACACAATTGAATAAAAGTGGAAATGCTTTTTAAAAACAAACAAAAAAAAGTCGTGTAAATGTCCGTTTTCATCTTCGTCAGTTAATAGCAATCATACAGGGTCTTTCGGGGTTGACTTTAAACAATTATTTATTTATTCAATACAGAAGAAGCAAAGTCAAACGCTTACTTGAGAATTGTAGTTTGTTTTTTACAGGATACTTAAAGACCATTTTTTATTTATTTATTTATTTTAGGGGGTTTTTTACCCTTATATTCAACATATAATCTATTTAAAAAAAACATACTGTACTCCATTAAAATAAAAACAACCTACAACTAATACGGAAACTAATACTAAAAAACACAATTCAAACAATGGATCGGGAAAAAACAAAAGTTGCGCGAAAAACAAATTGAAACGAGTTGAATTTAATAAAGAACAGCCAATGCAAAATAAAAAGTAACTGATTAAAAAAAAACAAAAAAAACATGCTATTTTGACCCTGATAGCGGGCAGTCCGTTGTTTATGTTCAAAAATGCTGAAGGTGTCAATGCAGAATGGAGACGGGACAATCACACGTATTCAAAGCTTTCCCTGTGAAATCCAAAAAATAGGAGTGGCTGGCTCACGCGTTCGTGCTGCCAAGTGTCGTTTGTCACCTGTGTGCGCGTCCAGTTCCCGCAGGGTCTTGGGACTGGCCGCCTTGATGTTGTAGACTGTGCAGATGTTGTCCAGACCCCCGCTGGCCACCAGGTTTCCGGAGGGCGCAAAGGCCACGCTCATTACCCAGGCCGACTTGAGCGGGACGGCCACCAGCTGGAAGAGCAAATACAAGATCACACTGCCTGCCGGCCGTTCCAATGGCGCCGCCTACACCACATAAAAAAATTCAAAGTCTCTTTCTCGACAAATGACGAGAGTCCATTAATCAGAGGCCATCACGACGAGTAGCGCAGTTTTTGGAATCAATAAGATCAGAGCAAGAAATTAGTTCCGTTCGGTATGAAATGCTGGAGTCCAGTCCGGTTTCCAAAAATGGATCCCTGAGTCAAACCCTGTGCCGATGATTTGCCCAAAACCGTTGACGGGACAAAGTGTGACCAGAGTTGCTCAAATATTGTGTGAGTCAAATATTGCTCGAGTCATAAAGCAGCAAGAAAGTTAGAAAATCAAACAGGAGATCTTAAGGGGTCTTGGTTTGCCTTCTTGAATCCATCTCAATACAGGAAGCAATACTTCATAGCAGGCAGCACAGTATGCTAGTGGATAGCTCGTCTGCATCACAGCTCGGAGGTTCCAGGGTTGGAATTGGGGCTGCGGCCCTCATGTGCGAAGTTGGCGTGTTCTCCGCATGCTCAAGTCGGGTTTTCTTTCCACAATCCATAAATGGAGAGTCGCTTAGAATAGTAAATAGCTTTACGGTACAGGTGCGATAATTTAGCAGGAAATCTACAACTAATCAGACTGGTCAACAAATTTGGATTTTTTTTTTGTTTTTTAAAGCGAGATGCGATTCCAAATCTGCCCTCATTTTTTTTTCTCTAGTCGTAATAATTATAAGAATAACAATTATAATAATAACAACGGAGAGTCACATGCTCAAAGATATTCAAGGCTGTCTGAAACGGTAGACATCCTGTTCCCAAAACAGTTGTGATCCGGACTTCCCCTGGATGGAAAAGCACATGCGCACAAGTCCTATCTCCTTATTTTCCTCTCCTTACTCCCCCAAGCCTGTGACTGATAAGGTCTTGGCCTTGCAGCGGCAATGTCAAAGTCTTCCCTGTATCTATGTTAAGTCTTGAGAATTGTTGTACTGTGTTTTTAAATGTACGCTGTATGTGCTGAGGGTTTTTTTCCCCCCTCTGGCTCAAACCACCCTCCAATTGAGAGAATGGTTAGGAGCCAATCGATTTTTTCCCTCCTCTTCCCGACTGTTTTCCTTTCAGGTCTAAGATATCGGGGGGCTAAACTCGTTCCGTCTCCCCCATGTTGATTATTGCTGTCTTGTCGATGTTCCTCTGAACGGGTTGTAACCGGGAAGTAAATTACTTGTGTGTTTCTTGCCTACATGGCCAAGAAATCTGATTCTGATTCTTCTGAATACCGTATTGGCCCGAATATAAGACGGCCCTGATTATAAGACGACCCCCTCTTTTTCAAGACTCAAGTTTGAAAAAAGACTTTTTGAACACCAAATTAATTTTTATACAAATAATTACAGTACATCTGAAACAAATGATGGTAACAATATATTTGAGAGAAAAAGGATGTTATTTTGCCTCATTCAAATCTTAATATCTGAACATTTAAATATGTAAACTAAAGTGCAATCACATTCGTAAATGAATGGCTTCTGGTTTTTGAAATGTAAATGACATCATAACTTCTCCTCAGCTGCCGGTTAACCTGGCCGATCTTCGACCCACTTTTCTCCAGATTGTCACTACGTTTCTCCATTTTCTGTTATCTCTTCTATTATTTTCTTCTCTTTTCTTCCTTGCCGCTATTTTTTATTTTTCTTCTTCGTGCTGCCGCTATTTTTATTTTATTCTTCGTGACAGGGGTTCACTTTGGCCTGGGGAGTCAAGTTCAGCATTCGTTTCAATGATATCTGGCGCCATCTAGTGTCTAGAATGGGTATAATGTCTAGACCCTGAATATGAGACGCCCCCCACTTTTTCAGTCTTATTTCAATGCAAAAAACACCGTCTTATATTCGGGCCAATACGGTATGTACAGCACAATGTTATTATGGGAGTGCTTTTGTTTTGAACCTACAAATATTTTTTTTCAGTTGTGTTTTTAAATGTCCCTGTGTAGGCCTGTCTGAAATCAAATTTATTCTCCTAAATTCGCTCCATGCTGGGTGTGTGCACCGTCTTATATTCAGGCCAATACGGTAATCATCTAAGAAAGTTCTGACACGCATGTTGTTTGTCAGGTCTCTGTGTTTGCGACTCACCTTGTTCCCTGTGAAAGTGTCCCACACCAGAAGTTTGCCATCCTGCGACGCGCTCACCATTTGCCTGTTGGGCACACCAAAGTGCAAAAACTGCTCCATCCAGGCCACTTAATGGATAAGTCAAGGTCGCACTCGCTCGCCGTGTGGACTTTTCCCGGGGCGCCCGTCAGCGTCACTCACCTGGAGTCAGCTGACCAGTGCATGGCGTAGATTTTGGCCAGGTGACCTTTGAGCGTCTTCCTCTGCTTGAGCTGAACGCGACCCACCGAGGCCACGCTGCCCGCCGCCGATGTCATGGTGGTGTCGTTGACAGCCTTGCGCGCCGCCTGGTACGCAAGAGTTTCACCAATTAGTCGCAGCTGTCAGTTTTGTTTCTTTTTTGAGGGGATGGGGGCGGATTTCGGCACTCACTCACCTCAATCTTGGCCCGGAGCCCGTCGCACTCCTTTTTCAACGCATCCATCTCAGCTTTCTCGGCTGCCATGGCGACAGGAAACTGTAATGAAACTGCAAACAAAGACCGAAATTAAAAAGTCAACGCCAAATTAGAGATTGGATTCACAAGTCTCTCTTTTTATTTTTTTATTTTTTATGTGAATACAAGAGACTTTAGGTGAGACTGCATTGGGACGGTCCCTTGAATTGAGAACAGAAATAGGGTCAAGTCAGAAATGACCCAAGGCAGAAGGAAATTAAGGCTCGGTCCACACTGCAGGGGATGAAGATTTTTTTTTTTTCTAAATCCAAGTCAAATGTCAAGTCAACACTGTTACTCAAGACAATGTAGATCCAGGGACGATTATTCTCAGTAGTCGCCCTCCCACCTGCAAGGAGCGCATATCGGGCTTTTGATGGCATATACCGTATTGGCCCGAATATAAGACGGCCCTGATTATAAGACGACCGCCTCTTTTTCAAGACTCAAGTTTGAAAAAAGACTTTCTGACCATCAAATTAATTTTTATACAGAAAATCATGACAGTACATCTAAAACAAATGATTATAACAATATATTTGAGAGAAAAAGCATCTTGAAGTTTACACCATAACTTCTCCTCAGCTGCCGGTTAACCTGGCCGATCTTTGACTCACTTTTCTCCAGATTGTCGCTATGTTTCCCTTCTTTCTTTCTTGCCGCTATTTTTTATTTTTCTTCTTCATGCTACCGCTATTTTTATTTTTCGTGACAGGGGTTCGCTTTGGCCTGGGGAGTCAAGTTCAGCATTTGCTTCAATGATATCTGGCGGCATCTAGCGCCACGAATGGGTATAATGTATAGACCTCGAATATAAGACGACCCCCACTTTTTCAGTCTTATTTCAATGCAAAAAACACCGTCTTATATTCAGGCCAATACGGTAGGTCGGACGTGTATGGATGACCGTTCATACTGCAGACTTTCTATCCACATATGAAAGAGGCCAAGGTTGGATTTCAAAATAAATCTGTTAACGCTGCATGGGAGAGCAAAAAAAAAAGATACATGTGCAAGACTCAAGTAAGTTTCAGGTTTCCAAAAAGTTCCAAGTGATGTTGTCTAGCGCAATTCCTACGAAAAGTCAACTCAGTCCAAGTCTCAAATGAGTTCCGCATCATTTTGTCTTGGGCAAAGTCAGGCCAAGTGACCTTAATGCAGTCTTACCTGCAGTCGGCAGTATCGGGTCTTCATCTTGAGAGAAGACCATTCGGGTCAATTGATAATCATGTCCCAAATCGAGTCAAGTCCCGAGTCAAGTCACACGTCATCCAAAGAGCGGCGAAGTCCCAATGACTCAAGTCCCCATCGCCAAAGTGAGATGCGGATTTTTGCCAATCTGAATCAGTCAGAATGCTAACCTTCGTTTGGGCCCAGTCCAGTACAAGACGGTCCAAAGATCACTTCAGCCGTGGCCTAGATGCTCTGACCCAGAACACCTTTGAATGTGAAAGATTAGACACGGACACGATGGGACGTAATCCCGCCTAATGCTGTTAATGGTCTGACGACAAGCAAGCGCCTGTGAAGGACGCCGACCAGGAAGCTTGGTGTCATGACATTGCAACAGATGACAGCCATGTCTGTCTCCGATCTCAAAAGAATCTGGTTTCAATCTTTGCCAGCAACATATAGTGACAATCAGAACCGTTTTGTGCTCTTGAGGGCCGAGAAACACAAAGCCAACCTTTTTACAAAAAGGTTTGAGCTAGTTTTAGTTTATTTAAATCGGGAAACAGGCGCCGGACTCATTCAGTACCAGCCAATCCTAGACCAAGTCTGAAAGACGTTTAAAAACGTCTTTTGGGAGTGAATGAGTTGAACTCATTTCACGTGCACGGCGAGTTTATTGGCTTGTTGCTAATGCTAATCAGCATCCTATCATGGAGCGTGAATTCCGGAGGGCTTGGGGGCGAGGGGTGAAGGGCGACCAAAACCAGCCGCCGTGTGGAAGATACGAGCGGGGCAGCGCGCCGAAAAGGATGAGGGTGCCTGGGCGAAATCCCTCAGGAGATCTTTTACGGGAAGCTTGAGAGCTCAAATCTCCCGTCATCCGATTACCGGCTGCTCTTTACCTCTGGGTGGGATCAGGAGGCAAGACAACTGAAGAAATGTCATCTACGAGAAGATAGCTAAAAATTGAAAATGGGGGAAAAAAGACTTTTTGTGTACTGGAATGAAAGACAGAGAGAAAGCCAATGAGGAGATTGTCAAATCTCCGTGCAAAACAGATCACAGATCTCATTTTTGTCACGGGCCACTTTGGAGTTAACGCCTTCCCTCGGTGGGTTTATGAAAGTGAAACCACAAAAATGTTGCATCGTGTCATTGGATTATGACTTGGACGGAAAAAATTTATGGATTACTAGCGCGGGCATGGAGTTCGACCACCGATGTTTTTCTTTCCCGACAAATTTGCACGCCAGTTTACACGGCAGATGATAAATTAGAAGAACCCTGCAAGCATCAAAAGGCCCAAACTGTGCATAACTTCTCACTGGCAGCAAGTCCCAAATCCCAAACGGACGGACGCTCACCTGTCTTTCACACGTCCGTTCCTTTGGTGGGCACGTCACAATCCCAAGGTGCTGCTGCTGCTGCTGCTGCTGCTGCTTCTGCTGCTCTCTGAGGCGCTCCCCCCACTGACTGGTCGCCGGTGCGCAAGTCCTCCTCCGCTCTCCTGGCGCCGATGAGGATTGCGGCGGATGAAGGAGATCAGAGATGAAGGGATAAAGCTCAAAGATGGAAATAGAGAGAAGGGAGCCAGCCAGAGCAAGTGAGCAAGCGAGCGAGCGTGGCGAGGAGGCTAAACCGATTGGGGAGAAAATCAGGTTATCGGGTCGCCCAATGAGAGCGGCTGAGGAAGTGGACAAATGGGAGAGGATGGGTCGCCGGGGAAAGTGCAAGACAAGCCATGGCGGGAAAAAAAAACATGAGGGGACCAGAATGCAAAAAACAAAAGGGAGAGCTGGAGCCGATACCATCTGACTTTGGGTGAGAGGCAGGGGACGCCCACGATGGGTCGCCAACCAATGTCAAGAGTCCATACAGACCAACAATTGACTGGTCGTTGTCAGGAAGCAAACAAACTGCCTGGTCGTCTTGTCAATGTCAAGGCACATGTAGACAATGGACAGTCAATCTCAGGGTGGAGACAGTCAAATATTGACTGGTCGCCACATCATGTCAGGGCATGTTTTGATAATAATTGACAAACAAGATTTGACATTGCCATCGATGAAGGGTTTGGTCTGGAGTGACACTAATGTGCGCATCATTTTGGGATCAGCGCAATGTTTGCCTCATCTCTTCTGTCATTGGCCGGCGACCAGTCCAGAGCATCGCCTTCCACGGTCAGACAAAACAGGATGAAAAATATTTGCCGGCGGTTTTTCAGAGGGTCCTAAATCTCTGCCAGCGAATGTGTGGGTTTGTTCGCGCTAACGAGCTGAGCCCGCTTAATCACCATCTAATGGGATATCCGGGGACGGCCAATCTCATTAGGGGCTTACGTTGGGGGGATGGTGGGGGGGGGGGACATGCGTCAAGACCAAGTGGATCAGTACTTGCGGGGACCAGGGAACCCGAGAAAGGCATCTGGGAGTGTAACCCAAGTCGTTCAGCAAGGACGACGAGTGTTCCAAACAAGTTTTGACGATGGAGGAAGGAGCATTTTCTATCTTGGAGGAACTAGCTCGGCCTTACAAGTCACTTCACTGATTGATTTGGAAATCCCGAAACAAGCGCTGCATCAACACGTCCGTATCATGATTGACAGTCGGGGAGGATGAATGATTGCGAACGCAGCTAATCGATTCCGCGAGCGCTCCGTTGTTACGATGTACCCTGACATTAGGTGACTACCAGTTCATTGTGGCAGTCGCTGCTTTTGGAATCCTTCACTTCACCCTGCTGACTGGAGAAAAAAAAGCAATTTGGGGCAGGGAACTATTTCGGTCCACTAGGTACAAATCATCATTGTGGAGCGAGTTTGGATGACATCATAAGGTGAACTGCGGTGGTGTTTAGATGAACTATGGCAGGATGCAAGATCACGTGACTTCCAGCTGCATCATTGGAACAACAGGAAGGCAAAGCCATTCTCCTCTCCCGTGTTTTTTTTTTTTTTTTTTTAAACATGGTTCTTGGGTTGGTTCTTTCCTTGTTTTTTTTTTTTTCATTGGTTACTAATTTGGTAGACAACAGTTTTGGCTCATATTCTTGTCTCAGTGCTGGTTTTTGTTTCTTTAGGCCAGGGGTGTCAAACGCATTTTTGTCGCATATGACAATTTACAATTTAACATTTCGGTTCAGATTTGAGCAAGAGTCATGGAAGTTGCCACACACGATTTGCTTTCACGGGCCACATAAAATGACATGGTGGGCCGGATCTGGCCCCCGGGCATTGAGTTTGACACCTGTTCTTTTAAGCATATTTTAATTGGCTTCTCTATTTGTTTTTTTCCAGTCTTTGACTTGGTTATCGAGTCGCTTTGTGACTTTATCCTTGAAACAGTTCTTGACTTGGTAGTGAATCATTTTTGACATGATTCTAGATTTGGAACTGGCCTCGTTTTTTGAGACATTCTATCCATTCTATGTTTTTGACAGAGTTGTAGTTTTGGTTGTGGACTTGGTTTCTTTACATCTTTCCAAATTTGTACGTTTATTTGCTTTTTGACACTCTGATCTGGACTTGGTCTTTAATGGTTTTTGATCAAGTTGTTGATTTGGTTTGTGGTTCTTGACATTGTTTTTGACACCTATGTATTTGTGAGGGGTTTCTTTTTTATTTTATTTTTTTAATTTTATGGTTTAAAAAGCTTTGCATTTGTGACGTAGTGGACAAAAAAATATTTTGATGTGCAGAAGACACATTGGCCACGTCAAAAACGAGAGCGACACCATTTATTTCTCATGTTTATTGAGGGGTATTGAAGACAGGTAATAAGTCGCGCAGGTGGTCTTCTCCGCCGCCCAAAGTCAATTGTTCTTCTGGATGTCAAGTTAACAGCAGGTGGGGCGTTTATGTGGGCCGTTCCCTGGGGCGGGTGACATACTGCCACCATAGAGGCGGCAGGTCGTCCTCCTTGCGGGCTGGGGGGAGGGCTTCCGACTTGGGCCCGTCGGCCGGAGTCTCGGCCTGCAGCTGAGCCACCTGCAAAGTCACAGCGGGGGCGGGAAGGTTTATTTTTTTTCCTGTGCTTATTGGCTCCGGACCGAGTTCGCTTTGCTTGGGCCATGTGGGACAACGAATCGCCTCCCCAAAAATGATAATGGACCGACTCAGAAGCAGCAAGCTGTGCAGTGTTGCTGCGTTCTATTCATCGGCGTCACAAAAATGAGGATGTATGCACTGTATTGACAGCACAAGTTTTGGCATTTGGCAAAAATAACTTCACCTCATGACAATCATTGGAGCAAGCAATGACTTATTTTCAACAGCAACGCCTGCGCTCTGCCTTCTGTGGGAGCAAATGTCGCCACTGGCAGAAGGCTAGCATTAGCATCTGGTTTGTTTGCGCTCAGCAGTTGGAAACCAACCTGACTGGGCCTTTTAGTCTGGGAATGACGCATTGCGGTTCGGAGTGCCTTTCTTCCTTTGGGGATGTCAAACTTACCTGACACGCTGCCAATTTTCATTGGCTCTCAGCTACAGGGGTACCTGCTTTTTTAGAGGTTCCTTTTATTGACAGGTGAGAATCCCCTCATATTTACTTGCAATTGGTTGCCTTTTATGGAATGAATATTTGCGGCTGGCCAGCGTACCGTCTCATCGAGGCAGTGACACGAAAGCGCAAGACAGGGGCTCACCTCTTTATCCCAGCTGAGCGCCCTCAACTTCTTCCACTGCTCCCTCTTGGCGAAGTAATCGGGGTAGGCGGCCTTCTCCGACGGGTGCCAGTGCTCCAGGACCCACTCGGGCAGCTGCCTCCACAAAGTGCGACATTCAAACACATTTCGCCGTTTGCTGTCCACAACCACATCAAACTATTTCCAAATGCTGATCAAATAGACTGAGACCATATTGGCAATATGGATGTTGTTCCCACACGATCCACCGGAGGGCAGTAACGAACATTGTTCACAAAAAAAAAAAAAAAAAAAAAAAAAAAAGACTTGGCTATGAAAATGTCCGAATGATGATTTTGAGCATTACAAGTTGGCTAAAGGAAATATTTCAGGGATTTGCTCAGGAGAATGCAAAACATGAGGTACATCCTCAATATATGATGTATATTCCATGAGTTAATGGGTAGCTACTGAGCAGAAGGTACAGGAATTGCCCACCGAGAAAACAAAACTGTCAGCAAATCATCATAGGAGTCAGAAAGAAAGAAAATCACAATTATCTGTCATTGTGTTTGTTGAAATTGGATCTGTCAAAACTGCTCCCAGTATCGGTACTCGGTATCTGTGAGTACTCCCCCAAAAAGTTTAAAAATGTCCTGACTTTTTATCCAATATTTTTCCTCATTAAAAACATGTCATTTAGGAGGGTGGGGGAGTTTCTTTGGGGCAACAGAGTGAACAAGCGTGTTAAAAAGGGTGCAGTGACCTTGTAGCACTCGTAGCGCTCGTAGGAGGTCCCGCCGGGCGAGTCGGGGAAGATGTAGGGCTGCGGATGCTGCCTGTCCCAGAACTCCTCCTCGCCAGCCTTCAGCATTTTAGTAGCCTTTACCATGTCCTTCTCGCTTTTGTTGGCATCGAAGCGGGCACGCAGCAAGCATGCGTAGAAGCGGTACTTATCCCTGAAGTCGCACACACATAGACAACAACCATTTTGCTTTTTCGGGCTTCCGATAACATCAATCCTAATTTTCGCTAGCCCGGCTATGGCATTTCATACTATATGTACACAATAAGGCTTTCCCCCCCTTTTTTAATTAATAAAATGGCATAGTTTGGATGAACACAACGTTGAATTGAATAAAGTTGCAATTTTGTGAAAAACGACATAATACTGCAATACAGATGTTTAAAGGCTTTTTTTTACTCATTCAGTACCAGCCAATTCTAGACCCCTTTTTTTATCCTAAGTCTTGGAAAAAATGAAGAAAAAAAAAGTATCTGGGGTTGAACGTGTGGAGTGTGAAAAGACAAATATGTCTTTGGGAGTGAATGAGTTAAACATCATACATGACGTTTTTTTGTATGTTCTCAGTTTTTGCTCAGAGTCTCAATTTTTTTGCCATACATAACTTTTGTCATTGGGCACACGACTTCTCATGAGAGTTCATTTTTCACTCACATTAGGATTTACGTTAAAGCATCACAACTTTTTCCTGGATTTTTTTTTTGCAGACATTTTTTTCAACACCCCCGTCACAAATTTTGTTATTTAGGTATTAAGAACTAGATTGTCTTTTTTTTTTTACATTACATACGTTTCCAGTAAAGGTTAAAAACTTTTAAGTGGCCTTGTGTGCAATGAGTAGAAAATTTGATGCTTGAATGACATTAAACGAAACCATTTTGAGCAACCGAGTTCTTTCCAGTGATAACAAGGTATGATGGAATTCAAACCATCAAGACTGAGTGAATAAAACTATTACTGACTATTCACAGTTCGTCTTACAGTTCACGTTATCTTTGATTTCAAATGGAAATTTCTCAACTTAGATACAAATTCCGTTCAACCTTATTCGTTGTTCATATTTTCAAAACTGGCACATTAATCAACAACAAACGCGTTCAAGTGAAATTGACCTCTTTAGAGGGGGCGCTCTCAAACCTGGCTAGCTGTTAGCTCAGCTGTTAGCTTAGCGGTTAGCTTGGCCCCGTGTCGTCGTGAAAATGTTTCCCAGTGTGCGTGCCTCACCGAAAGATGCACCACGACTCGAGATGGCGCAGCGATTTCTTGTAGAGTCGCAGCACTTTCTGCTGGTGGCTGAGGTAAGCCGCGGCCATCCTCCTGCTGACTTGCTAGCTTGCCGTTCGCTTTGCCTTCCTTTAATGTCACCTTCCAGTCGAGCGCCGCGCACGGCATACTCGGATCGGGAGACGTCACACGTTTTCACCGTAATCCTGGAAACAAACACGCACGTTTTGAGCTCCTTATTCTAATTAGGTTTGTTTTGCCATTTCTCTAACTACGTTTTATTTTCACTTTTTCATTTTAAAGTTTAGTTTTTGTATTTGTGGGTGGTTTATTTTTTGTTTAAACTCAAATACACTTCAACATGGTCACAAGAGCTGGGGGGGATCGAGTTGGGGGACACTCACTCTACCACCTGAGCCATGAGGCCTGAAAAACAAAGTACATCCTCTGATATGTGCTCAAATACAGAAATACATATTTTTACTTGTACTGTACAATACTTGAGATAATTGTGGTGGCCATTTCAGTAAATTGAGCTCCTCTTTTGTGAGACTTAAGGTAATGTCAAATGACACTCCGGATGAAGGCTGCATGTCTGTTCTTCTCAAGCAGGACTCGTTCAACTCTGTCAATAATGGCCCGGCACAAATTAATCGGTAAGGCACATGTTAATCATCATTTTATGAATAATAAAAAAAAAACTCCACATTGTGATTATGTTTGAAGTCATTTATCGGGCCTGAGCTAATGCCAAGAGTCTCCCTCCGCTCCAATGGCACGTACTACATGGTTTCAAAATAACCTAGCTTGATTGAATCACCGCATTTACTTTTCGCAAGGAGAAATCTCAAGTAGAGTTAGTCAAATAATGATGCTCTAGTGTAGTGGTTGTGCAACTTTTTACACCAAGTGCCAGAAAACAAAATTCCAAGTAGTTCCAACCATCATGACGTCAAAATGCAGTAATGTAGTAGTTATATGTGTTCTTTAAAAACAAGTCAGAGGTTTTATTCCGAAGGAGAAGATATAATACTGGGAGCCAGTTTGAACAACTCTGCCTTTTTATTTTTAGGGAAGGAAATGCATTTAAATACTGAACCAATGCAAAAGTATTGCCAATTAAATTGCAGTAAAACGGACCTAAGTAAATAAATCTGAATCTATTTATATTATTTGGACATTTTGTGCATCGTCAGTTTGAGATGCCCTGTTTTTGAATAAAGGGATGTAAATAAATGTTTCTTTCAGTTAGTCATTGAACTTTTACGAAATGCACTAAGGAGTGGCAACCAAATTTAGTTGTATTCTATACAATGACAATAAAGGCGATTCTGATTCTGAATTAAAAAAAATTATAATAATAACATATTAATTGATTATTGAAACAATAGTTAGTTGCAGCCCTATAGTAAATAAATTACCGGTACTCATTTTCAAACCAGATAATTCCCCTATGTTATAATTCTGTGTCCAAAAATCAGACATTGGCGTGAACCTGACAGACCCTGTGTTCCATGGGCTCTACAGAGGCAAGCGCAAGCACCAAGGTGAGAGCATTTTCCTCCGTCCGCCACGTCGAAGGCATGGCTTCCACTTGATGCCGCGTTGTGTTCCCGCAGACGACTTCCATGATGTCATCGACAGAGCCGTTGACGCGGGCGTCCAAAAGGTGACGCGCTTCTCGCTCGGCAATGGTATAGATGACGTCGGGTTGGTGGGTTTTCTCAACCCATGGGTCCTCTTGTGGTCAAACTTTTTTTTTTTTTTAAATTTAAAGTTGCCGCGGTTGACCCAAGGTTAGAGGACATTGCAATTGCAAAAATGCTTAAAAAACAGAAAGCACCAGAAAAGGATATGTGTGGTGCAGATAAACAGACTCCAAAAAACAAACCAAAAAAAAACTTAATCGAGGATGGGGCCGAATGCACAAAACTGACAGATCTCTTCTGTCGTGGTGGGAGCAGCCAGGCCAGGGATGACACGGTTCCGAGCAGCAGCACGAAGCATTGTCTGCTGTTAACACGGCGCTATCATCATCTCAGATTTGAGAATAGGGATGTCACAAGAATTGACACTACCGGTAATCCGAACGTGACCAAACCTGGACCCACTCCAGCCACTTTGTGTGGGCACAACCATAGTTGAAGCCCATAAGCATGACGCACCATGTGTCTTTCTCCCGTCAGTTGTCATGGGAACAAGACGTAAATGAATGCAACAAATATTAGCGGAATCTTGATAATGCAAATGCTCAGATAAAATAAACGACTCGTGAAATGTAACAACTGAGTAAATGCGATGGTGTGTCTGGTGTGCAGTTTGTGATCACCGGAGGAAGCCTGGAGGACAGCGAGGAGGCCGTCAAACTGGCCCACAGCAGAGGTAAGTGTGGCGACTGCCGCAGTCTTTTTTAGTGGGGGGGAGTTTTACTTGGAGTGATTTTTTTTTTTTCCTGGGCCGAGCGCAGACAGCTTCTATTGCACGGTGGGTTGCCATCCAACCCGCTGCGGCCAATTCGAGGAGGGCGCCGGCCCCTCCGAGTATCTGGCCCGCCTACAGCGTCTGGCGGCGGACAACCGAACCAAAGTGGTCGCCATCGGAGAGTGCGGACTAGGCAAGTCGATGGCCACAAGTTTGTCAGGAAACGTTTTGTCAATGACTTGAATTGGGTTTGTTGTTTTTGTAGATTTTGACCGGTTGGAATTTTGCCCCAAAGAGACGCAACTCAAGTAAGTGCAGGACATGTTTCCACCCCCCATGTTTCTTATAGTGTCTGTTGTCTGTCATATGTCACAGATACTTCGAGATGCAGTTTGACCTGGCTGAGGAGAGCAAGCTTCCCATGTTCCTCCACTGCCGCAACTCCCATCAGGACTTCGTGGGTGAGTCACAAAGTCCGCTCCAGTCACGTCTCGCACGATCTGACCGCCTTCTTGGGTTGCAGACATCATGAGGAAGAATCGAGACCGATGCGTAGGAGGCGTGGTGAGTGAATGTGTCTTCAAGGGCGAGATGTGTGGCACTGACTATCTTGAATTTCAATGAAAAGAAAACTGAATCCTCCATCAAGCATCTCCAGTTGTTCCAAAATGCTGCTGCTCACCTCTTGACTAGTATTCGTAAGAGGGAGCACACAACTCCTACTCTGGCGTCCCTTCACTGGCTCCCTGTAGATTTTGGAGTTCTACTCTTTGGCTTTTGACTCAGCATGAGATGCTGTTTAGTTTTTATGTTACTAATTTGTTTTAACTGTTGGATGTATATAGATTATTTTTTTGCTCCATGTCCAGCACTTTCTATCCAGCGGTGGTTGTTTTAAAGTGAAATGTAAATACAGTTGAGGTGAGTTGAGTTGCAATCAAACCTTTGGATTTGCTCGCTGTTCACCTTCAAATCCCTTCATCAGGTCCACTCGTTCGATGGGACCGCGGAGGAGGCTGCCGCCCTTATCGAGCTGGACCTCTACATCGGGATCAACGGATGGTGAGAGCCAGGAGGCATGTCTGCAACGACCCACGTGCTTTTAGAAAACACATGTACGGGGACTGTAATTTAATCATTTGTTCAGTATTTGCTCTCGTCATATACTGCCGACCACTTCGTTGTGATAGAGTATAAGGAAGCCAACTCGTGGTCCAAAAGACCACCTGCTGCTAACAAGACCTTCCATTTCAGTTCCCTGAAAAGCGAGGCCAACATCGAAGCCATGAAGCGCATTCCCACCGAGCGACTGATGATAGAAACCGGTGAGTTGTCTGGAGTGGAGCTGACGCTGTCGCGGACATCTTGGTTTGACGTTGTTCCAATGGCCGCCAGATGCTCCGTGGTGCGGCATCAAGAGCACACACGCCGGCTTCAAATACGTCAAGACCACCTTCCCCACAAAGAAGAAATGGGAGGCGGGGCACTGCCTGAAGGACAGGAACGAGCCCTGTCACATCATGTGAGTATGAGAGCTGCGGGTGGGCGACTCGTCATGTGACTTGGGTTCCGACACTTAAATTGGTAAATTTAGGATTTGGGGCTGGCGTGGCTAAAACTAGTCAAAGGCTCGACTCGGCTTCACAGACGTACATCATAACCTGTACTGCTAATGCCGCCTTACTCACCATCGTGAGAAGTCAAGCCAGCAGCGGCCATCTTGCGTTGCCACTGTCTAAACTCGCGTCACTTGGATACATTGATTTCTCCATGGCATTTTCACATTATTTTCTGTTTCTACAACGAAAATGCCAGTGTGTAGCACACGTTCATACTAATAAGTCTTGGAGAAGCTCTAAACGCACACATACAGAGACTTTGTCGGGACTATTACAAAGGCTGAAAGTTGGAAGGTCAAGACTTGAGACTTACTTGTGACGTGGAGTTTATGTGACTCATTGCCGCGATTTGACCCATTGAGTTGTCTCGTACAGACAAGTTCTGGAGGTGATGGCCGCAGCAAGGGAGGAGGACCCCTTGGAGCTTTCCAGCAGGATCTACGGCAACACCAACAGGGTCTTCTTCTCTTCTAGTGGATGATCGGAAGCTGAGATGAACACAATGCAATGACATAAATCGTGGAATGGAGACCAGACATTGTTGAATAAATGATCAATGACATAAATCGAAGTCCGCATCCAAGCAGCACCGAACTCGCGAAGACGCTCTTCACTGGATCCGATGGGGAGCCATCTGGTCCGGCAGCATACAGTGAGCGCTCAATATACTCATCTAAAATTCAAAGGTGCCGGATTTTTATGCTGTTGCTGCTGCCATCTAATGGCAGTGTATCAGCTGTGTATTGGAGCGTCATTTGTAAGAGTTGATGAGTAGGAACACTCGTGGCCGATATGTGCCTTGGCATTGACTGGTCCGTTGTCACCATGTGCCGTAATTTTACCTCTCCATCAGTCCAGTGTTAGTATTTATGTGGCTTATGACCAGTCAATGTGCCCTGATGTTGGCGACCACTCCAGTGTCACTATGCACCGTTGTTCTGAAATCCGTAAATTCCATCTCGGCCGCAAACCTAATGACGGTAAGCACGATAGAAAAGGGATGGAAATTTTTGGAGTTTTTTGGTTTTAGTACAATAACTAATACTTGAGTTTAAATGTTTAAAATGGGTTTTTTTTCACGTGCTCTCCGAATGACATGGCTCACCTGTCTTCAAAAAAAAAAAAAAATCAAAACGTGGGTTTTCAAGAAATGCATTTATAGAAACTGTAGGGGGTGTGTCAGTAGTTTCACAAAATCACAAAGTTAGTTTTTGGATTTTTTTTTTTTTAAACATATTTATCTTGCTCTCAGCGCAGTCACAGACAGGTGTCCTAGGACAGTGTGATGCCGATCCCAAAGCCAAACACGGCACACAGCGTCATAGCCAGCGGCAGCGAGATCCCCCAGCAGGTATCTCGGAGCTTCCTCCTGGCCGACGACCACGGGATCGCTTTGGGGGCCCCGACGTTGGCACCGGAATGCTCCGCCACGGCCTTCAGCCTGTCCGACAGCGAGCACAGGTTGTTGCGGACCTCCTCCCACTCCTGGCGCATGGTGGCCACGCTTTGCGCTTCCTGGCGGAGCCTCTTGGACTCCTGGCGGACAACCTTCATGTCTCTTTGCAGCATGTTGAGCACTTCTTGACGCAGACTATCCATGTCCCTCTGGGTCTGCTCGCGGATCTCCTGGCGCAGGGCGTCCGCGTCTGCCAAGTTGGGGCCCAGAGCTTTCTGCACCTCCTGGCGAAGGGTCCTGGCTTCCTGGCGGACCGTCTTGGCATCTCGATGCGTTTGGCCAACGGCGTTTTGCACTTCCTGGCGGAGGGTCTCCATATCTCTCTGGTTCTGGGCGGCCACCTCTTGGATGACCTGACGGAGGATCTCCATCTCTGAGATGCTCTCCAAGTTGACGCAGGCTTCCATGCTACGAACCTTACGGTCTTAAGGTGTAGTATGATTGGCGGTGCGCACTGTTGGAAAGCGGCGGCGAGTTTTCCAAGCTTTGGGGTGTCTCTTTTTGACAGCCCCGCAAAGAACGCCAATATCTTTTTGGTGTCGCGGGACTAAAGTCTACACAGATGATGAGCAGCTGTGTGATGTCATATCAGAGACACGCCCGTCCCTGTTGTCATGGCAAGGCGATCACAACTCTGCCTACCCGTGCTTATTGCCAAGGCCCGACGAGGCGTTGCGCGAATTTGCAGACACTGTGATCAACTTTATAGGAGGTGGTGCTGGCCAATAATCTATATTCACTATATTCTAATAATCTATATTCATTTGTGACACCTGTAAATCGTCACCGACGACTCTGTGTGTGGTGGACTCATTACTCGCTCTCTGCTCACTGTAATAGTGTGGGCCGAGTTAATTTACACCGTTCTACAAGTGGTCTTTTCTTCCCAGTGTTGTCACATGAAAAGAATGTCATTAAAGATATTTACAAAAATATGAGGAGTGCACTCACTTTTGGGTGAGACAGTGTAACTCTCTCTGTCGTACAAGGGTTGTCTCTCGTTTGAGATCACTTCAATTTAGTGCCTTGGCATTGCAGCAAGTGCAATATGCAAATTACTGCCACACCTCAAAACCACACTCACTGAGAATATCACGAATACTACCCCCCCTAAAAAAAATATGACGCGTGTCTTTGTTCAGACCTGCGCGAGCATGCTCGCGCCGCCAGATGGCGCCTTCACGCGCACTGGAAATCTGGGTTAAAGCGCGCGTGCACGCCGAGGGGAAGCATCTGCCCACCCGCACGCACGCACGCATACGCGCGCGCTCGTGGGCAGGCAGGCAGGCAAGCAGGACGCCGCCTCCAACCCATCAGACAACAGACGAACCGAGAAGAACGAGACGAACCTGAAGAAGAAACGGAGCGAGCGAGCATGAAGAAGAGCAGCCACGCAGGACCGGTAGGAACGCACACGTGAATCGCGCGCGTGCGCCACACATTCATCCCTCCATCATTATTAAACATCCATTCCTAAGTTCGGACCTTCATCTCTCCTCCATCGTCGCCATCCCTCGTGTGCTCCCGAGTCCCTTGCCTGGCCACTTCATCGGCTACAACAGCAAACCTCCGAGGAAGAGTTCGTCATGACCGCAACTAAATATTCAGCGATGTCACTGAATATTTAGTTGCGAATAATAATGTGATTTTTTTTTTCGCGAGCAGCTCCGGGACATCTCTAAGAGGCGAGCATCATCTAAAAAATATATA